CAACAGCTTTGGCAAAGGCTCTAGAATCAAATTCCTCTCTGACTTCTTTGGATCTCCAGAATAATCAAATTGGAGCTACAGGAGCAACAGCTTTGGCAAAGGCTCTAGAATCAAATTACATTTTGACTCTTAAATTGTAAAATTAAGTTGCTCATTTTTTTAGAGATGTCTTGGCCATACTAAGAGAGGAGGTGAACAAAATTATTTAGGGGAAGGTTAATTATAGTCAAGAAATCTAACACACTTTTCCAACACTTTTAACATCGCACAGTATATTCCCATATATAGGGCGATCATCATGATTATGACCAACAAAAATTCCAGATGTCATATTATTGTTATAATGACTTGTACTAGAAAGAAATGAAAAACTCAGCGAACATACAAGATATTTATTAAACGCATTGATCATAAGGATCTTTATTACTCATGTATAGCTAGTCGTTTTTTATGAATGTTTATTTCATATTAGAATCAAACATCAACGTCGCAAGATTGTGATAATTACATACATATTAGGCTGAATGCTTTTGTAATTGTATGCAATAGACATATAGTTCTAAATGCAAATATGCATTTGTTCCGACTTTATATTCTATGTATATAACTGATCAAGTCAGTGACATATAACTTTATTAAAATAACGATATAACTTATTAATAATATTATTGTTTGTTACTATCACATTTACATTTACCACATGATAAACGATCAGCTAAATTTTACTCATCCAAATATATTTTCCCTTGCTTTTTCATTGTCATCCAACTTTTGACAGCCTGCAATGTTGCTGGCTCTTTGGGAAAGTAAGTTTTACGCAGCATTCTCAACACTACGGATTGTTGTATCTTGCTCTTACCGCCTGAAATGTCTCTAATCTCCCTTGCACATTTTGTCTGTGTTGTTCCACAGTCATTATAAACATTCCTGAAGGCTTCAAGGAACTGCAACTTGGACTCATCCAGTTTGATCAGATTTTTTGACCATTTCTCATCATCATCAGGTTTTTCTAACTTTCTTTGTTTCAACTCCATTATAGAACTTTTGAACAGCAATTTTTTGGCCAGAATTAATTGATTTGCACTAATTATGGATGTGTGTTGGAGAAGATACTCATCAATGGCCAAATTTTTTTTGGTAATGTCAAATGTCTTCAATATCTTGTGCTGTACTTCAATTGTTGCTGTTGTTCTTCTGGTACAATCAGCAACTCTCTTATTAATGTTTCCCCACAAAAATATGTATCCCCACCATTGTCGTGTGAAATACTGTCTCAACTCTGGGCTATATAATGGATTGTTGAAACATTGTTCAGCATTAGGTGTTACCGTAAACCGCATGTGCAGGCACGGCACATGTAATAGATGTTGCATTTGATTGCCATGCCATTCCCTTCAAACTTTAAGAAATGGTATGTTGTTCATATATAATGTCCAATTGTCATTGCTTGAGAAGACATCCTGGCTCACTGTTTCACCATCTTCTACTAAGACATCGTTTTCTATCTCTCCTGATTTTCATCTTCGGTTAGAACATAATCGGTAAGCACATCCTCCGATGAGTGGAAATAACATAATTATGTTATTTCCACTTAGTCTAGGTTATTCCCACTCAGGTATGTGTCATGACGACAGAA